AGGAGAGAAATTCCAGTGGACAAATGCAACTTAGAACAATTTAGACACATTGAAAGAGGTGACCCAGGCCCTAGTTTTGGAATTATCATATTTCAATCAGCTGTTCAAGGTCTATGTTATTGTGAAAACTCTTGAGCATTGGAGCCATTACCCACTAATGAGCAATTTCACCTTGTTCACAGAACACAAAGCCTTGAAAATCCTAAATAACAAGAATAAATTGAAGGTTCAACATGTATCTTGGTTGGAATACTTGGCGTCATTTCAGTTCATGGTTAAGCACAAGGCGGGGAGTCGGAAGTGCATAACAAACGCACTGAGCCTTCATCAGTTGTGATCATTGTGATGCAGGCTAGAGTCGTCGGCCTTGAGATAGTGAAGGAGTTGTACAAGGCAAATAAGGATTTGGAAAAATCTGAAAGCAATGTCAAAAGAAGCCTACCGGGCGGTACTACAAAGCTGATGGGTCTTGTTCTACTAGAACAAGTCGTGCATTCCTAGATGTTTGTTGAGGGACTCCATTGTTTAGAAAAGTCACGATGGAGAACTTGTAGGGCATTATGGCAGGGACAAGGCTCTCACACACATGAGAGAACACTTCTTTTAGCCCTGAATAGTGAGAAATGTGGAGTAGCGCGTCAGAAGCATATAAGAAGCCAAAAAGAAATGTAAGAGAATACTTCTTACACCCTATTACCAGTACCAAAAGCACCGTAGGTGGAAGTTAGCATATAGACTTTATCGTGTGTCTCCAGAGGACACAGTGGAACAAAGATTCTGTGATAGTTGTGATGGATCGATTCTCAAAGTTGACACATTACGTACCTTGCCAAGAGACGTTGCATGCACAGCATGTCTCCAATTTGTAGTTCAGGGAGGTGGTGAGACTACACGGGATACCCTAACATCACATCCAACAGAGATGTCAACTTTCTAAGTCACTTCTGGAGGAGTATGTGGGGGAAGCTAGGCACTAAGCTTCAATTCAGTTCAACAGCTCACCTACAGACGAAAGGTAAAATGGGGTAGTCAATAGGAGTCTGGGGAACTTTTTGAGATATTCGTGGGGAAGAGTAAGCAGTGCGATCTGATTCTAGTTCAGGCTGAGTTTGCATATAATAGATCCCTAAGTCATACCGCCGGACAAACCCCATTAAAGATCATGTACTACTCACTCTATTTGAATTGGTACCACTCATGTCGACATTAAAGGATGCTAAAGAACGGGTGCATGGGATTTAGAAACTACACGAGGTTGGAAAGGAGATCTAAACAGAATCCCAAGTATGAAGCACAAGCAAAAAATACAAGGAAAAATATGACTTTTCAAGGAAGCCTAGTGTAGATCTGACTGAAGAAAGAGAGATTTGCATTCTAAAAACATAAGCCCATAACAGACGAACCTTTCAAAATACTTTGGAAGTTGAATGTCAATGCCTATAAGATCAACCTATCAGGTGACTAGTGTTTTCGTTACGTTCAATGTCCGGACTTGGCACCGTACTACGAGGACTCAAAGGCTTCGACGTAAGGAGTCGAAACTACCCCAAACCTGAGAAACTGATGCGGGGCTTGGGCATAACCGATCAGTTCAGCAAGTATGTGTCGGGCCAGCAAGTAGGCATGACTGATTGGCTATCTATTGGGTGGGAACTGCCACCCTTTTCCCCCTACTTATTGTCATATTATAAATATATGTTGCTTGTTGTTAAGGATTTAGTTTTGCTTTTTCTGATTTCAATTTTCTAGTTGTCGACAATTTCCTCTCTTTTTAGGGTCATATCCAAGGATAGGTGGTTCTCCGGCTGTATCATGCTCTGAGTGGTGGTTATCCTCAATCCCTCTCCATACTCCCTCTTCCCAGCTTGTTGGCCTCTTCCCAACGCCTCACCTGTGTTGCTTCTGTGGTTGATATCCTGACAACACCCCATCGGATTTCCACATACCACTTTTGGCTCTCTCTGTGTTAATGCCAACCTTCCCTGCACCTAAACCCATTGTCACTAGCCCTCCTGCACCCATCCTTACTACCGCCAACCGCACCTACAGACTCCTCCTCTACTGCCAACCCCTTCCAGCATCTGTGTGTTGTTGCATCCCCCTTGCGCTCCACCTATCCACTATCGTAGCCTCTCAAACCAACCCTACACCTCTGTGTTGGCGCCAACCTTCCCTGCACGTAAACCCATTTTCACTAGCCCTCCTGCACCCATCCTTATTGCCGCCAACCGCACCTACAGACTCCTCTACTGCCAACCCCTTCCAGCATCTGTGTGTTGTTGCATCCCCCTTGCCCTCCACCTATCCACTGTCGTAGCCTCTCAAACCAACCCTACACCTATTATCCAGCCAGGGTTCATCACATTCGCCCTCGCCCTAGGATCTCATTTACATTCATGTTATTTTATATTCAGATCTATGAGCATTTGTTGTGATTTCTTTTAAATTTCAACAAAAATATTCGTGTTTGATTATCTTTAGGGTTAACTTCAGTATCAGAAGGCTTGTATAATTTTCTGATAACAAGTTCAAATAATAAAAATTACCTTACTAAATATCACGAGCAATCATCTTCCTATTTGCAAAAATCTTAGTTTAAATTGCTATGGTTTGAGAAGCAAACAAGAAGTCATAATCTAAAGATAAAATAATTAAAATAAAGTATAAATTCAAATAAACGACAAGGGTTAATAATCCTTCCTCAATAATTGGGGTTGTGCTATGAATAACAATGAAGACAAATTATTGTGAGGTTGGTTGAAAAGAAAAGACCTATCAATAATCACAAGTCATATGATCTATAGCACCATAATCAATCATTCATGTAGTATTAAGTTAAAAACTACCCCAACATTATTCAAAATAATTATAAATGTTGAGGCCTTTTCAAAATTATCATCCATCATCTTTGCTTCGACAATAGCAATTAATATCATCTTGGAATTATTCTTCCATGAATCATGAATACAATCCTACCATTCCGAATATCCCTCTAGTTCAAAGCAATAAATCGTTGCCAATGGATTTACTTAAAAGTAGACTTATCAACACTCATGGTGGTCTTTAATTGGTAGTCCTAGGTTTGGTTCTGCCAATTTTGGGTTGAACAGCATCAAACCACCATTGCTGTGACACCAGGATTGTCAAATTCACCCTTTAAGGTTTCATGTCATGCAGTCTCTCAGGAATTAAATCTTCACACAAAATCTCTCCACGAACTTGTTCGAGGTTCCCATACAAACCAAAAAGAAGGACGGGCTAACCAAAAAGAAGGACGGGCACCCATAGCAGCTCAATATGAGCAGTCAGCATGCTGAAAAATTAACAAAATATTTCATGACTTCCTTACAATATGTTAAATTAGTAAAAAATTGCAGCAAACTCTCTATCAATCATAGAAGGAATTTTTTAGAGCATTCCAAGTTTCTTGGGTGACAGTGGGAAAGCATAAAAAATGCTTCATAATTTATAAATTACAGACTTTAATAGCCAACTCTTTACCTTCTGCCATGATTCGCACTAATTATCTAACTTAGCAGATGACTTGTTACCTTGGATGTAGAAGAGTTTTTCCATTCAGGAGTATAACTCTCCAATAATTGTAACCAAACATCCTAATTTGATTCTGTAAAGATGATCATTGCGTTGAAAACACTCAAACCGAAAAATCACATAAATTGATTTTTCACATATTTTTCCTTAGCGGCAATGATGAGCAATGTTCCAAAGCAGCGATCAGTAAACACTCTCTATTATCTTGATTAGAAGGGGCATGTCTACTTTAGCAATTTACGGGCCTCCCTTATGTTGTAGCGGGAACCGCTAGGAAAGATAGCAATTAAAATATGTCCACCCACAGGTGGACTATCGGCAGGGTGATGTCCTCAACAACCTTGAACCCTTCCAATAAGTTACCATTTTAAATGGCAAAGATGGAGTTGTAATATAAAACTGGCCGGCATCCGATTTAGCAATTTATCTTGAAGCTTTCAGCTATGTGATGATGACAAAAAATTTCCAGGGGGGAGCATATGCAACTTCTCCTCCTATTTTAGAGAAGTCTCTGATACCAACTGAGAGCTAAGGATTAGATTTCATATCTCATCAATCAAAATAGAACCCCTTCAACCAATTAATAATGTAAGGCAAAAAAAGTAAACTTATAAAAAAAAAAAAAAACAGAAAACTAACAATGGAAGAATCACAGATCTAATTACCTAGAAATTAGTTCTAAATTATGTAGCTAAAATACAACAGTACAATCCATAATTTAAGGGGAAAAATCTCAAAATTAATAAATGACACTCAGATGAGAGCTCTCCATATCAATCATCACTCCCCCTCAAATGAAAGCTTTCTCATGTCAATAAAGTTGACATGAATGTCACCCACAGTTAAGCATTGATAAATCAAAGTAAAAAAGCACCAAAAACCCCATAGAAGCCCCAAATCACATGAAACACAATTGAACCTAACAATAACACCCGATCTGCTACTTGTTAGGAAGTGTAAACTAAAGTGAAGTCAAAGTTACGTTTGATATATCACCACTGATCAAATCCCATTTTCAAAACAAAATAAAAAATAACAATAATAATTAAAAAAAAAACTTAAGCCCATGGGTGATGATTAACCACTTGTGTTTGTGCACCAACATATTTTTTGCCCGTCCAATATCGTTGTAAACTAATATTCTCAAATGCCTTGAGGCGACATTCATGTAATTTGTATACCTAGTGCTTTAGATGTATATCTCGTCACAAAAATAAGCTATAAAGCAGCCTACTCTTCGGCTAAATTTCAACCTGCAATCCCCTCATTCAATTCTTTTAATTTAAAAATAGTCCCATGATTAAAAATTATAATTACAAATACTAATTGCTGATGAGAATTTCTAACAGGATAACATATATTCTAACTGGTGAGGAACCCAAAGAAACTGAACTAAAAAGCAGTCTTTGAGGCATGTCATATCAGTTTCCTAACTTTTCAACGCTCACCTCGAAAGATGTGACGAAATTTCCACTCATTTCCATGCAGATCTCTAGCAATCAGTTCTTGTGCAGGAGGCTGCAGAGAAAAGTCCTACCAAAACAATGAAGCAAAAATAAAGGCAAATCCATAAATATGGCAGACTCAGCGAAGGTTTATTAGACAGTTTAAAAACATGGGGTTTTACATACATACCACCTAATTTCTATGCATTTACAAATATCACCTAAACTTTATTTTATACATTTATACCGCACAAATTTTTTATATCATAAAAAATACTACCATTTTAACTTTTAAAATATAAAATACACATTTTCATGCGAAGGGAATGTGAAATGTATGAAAAATTGAAGTTTAGGAGTTAGATATGTAAATACATAGGAATTGAGTGGTGTGTATGTAATGTCCCTGAAAACATTAATGCAGAAAAAACTACCAATGGAGGAAAGACTTTTTCAGCTGCTCGACGTGGAACAGAAAATCCTCCATGAGTGCTGGTGTCACTTGCAGTCAGTGTTTTACAGAAATAGTTGGTTGGCTGTTTGCTTGCTGCACCCAATTCAGCAGGGAGATATGGATCTTTTTGCTCTTGCTACAATCATTAAGATGTAAAATTATAACATGATTAACGAAATATCTCATAATTTGTAATTACAAAATAAATATAAATTACCGGATTAAGTGGTTGCAAAGTCATTTGAGCATAGACCTCATCAGTCTCAACATCAGCCTGAATAATGAATCTCAGAAAATATTGAACGTTAGAAAGTCCATAAGGCCAGATAAGATGATCAGGTAGGAAATGATATAGGGATTCTTACATGCATTGTAACATCATGGAGTTGGCAAATTAACTGAGGAGGCAGAGATGGATAATTTGGAATATGGGAATCAATCTCCTTGTTTGTGGATGCAGCTACCTGATCAAATTCAGGTGATAACTTCAAATTAATAGATTTAGAGAATCACAAATTCTACCTGCTTAATGATGATACAAAGATTTTTCAACAAAACATACTTCAGATTCCTGGTCGCCTACTTTCAGAATAATAAACTAGCACAGTAAATATTAATTAAGAAAACAGAAACAGGTAGTCAAATCTCCAAATTGTCTAAATATGCAACAAGAAATGAGCTATATCTACAACTTCATGCTGAGGAAATGCCAACAGACGACATGTGCCAATTTCAGAACAATCATTATTATGCTGGTCCCGCTAGATAAGACTAAAATACTTGCAGTTAGTACATAGCTCGTAGGAAAAGGTGGGAGATCATTATAAATCACAAAATATCCATCAATGGAACTAGTTGTAGGACTGTACCATAACAAAGCAAGTAGCATAAAGATCAGATAAGCAAGAATTCCCTCTCTTTTAGGTAACAAAATAAATGTATTCTTGGTTATGTAATAAATTAAAAAATAATCTGAAAAAACTCTGCGATATACAGCTGGAAACATTCCTCAATCCTTTGGTACTTAAAGTTATGGACTCCAGTCCAACAGACCTGCTCACTATGGCCTTGTGGAAAATACACCACACGAGTTCCTACCAAGGGCAACGAAACAAGAGGACCAGCACATGCATGCCACAGCTCAGAGTTCAAACACCTTTGTTCACCTGCAGGGGTTGTTTTAGGAGCAATTAGGAACCGAGTAAGTTGCAAGAAAGCTCAATGGAAACTATTCCTACATCAAGTTAAGAAAACAACATTTAAATGAACAACTCTTATATCAACTAAGAACCAATTAAAAATAAGATAACAAAAAAAGCAATATGAAATGGTTAAATATTTTAATCAATCTCCTTAGAAACATGGAAGTGAACCCAAATAACTCATTTGTAAGGGCCCAACTACTTGATACCATCAGAATTTCCATAAACTTTCCAGTAAGAGAATCTCTATATGTTTTTTGTGGCACTCTGCAGGGAATGCAATATATTTCGGAATTTACTCCTCAATAGACTACTCAATCAATACTAAAAACTGCAAAGTATTTAGGGCAAACATATACTACCGTTGATGAACTTTAAAGAATATTTTTTTTAATGACTAACCTGGCTCAGAAAGTTGGCTGTAAATGAATCTACAAAACAGAAGACATCTTCAGAAACTCCTACATTGTTATTGTCAAAAAGGAAGGCACTACCAACAGAATTCCAAATTCTTGGGGCAACAAAGGAATAACTTTAAGTCAGTTATGAAGCTTCCATTTAGTTTCTGCAACATTCACTTAAGTTAACTACAGCTTTCTTAAACTGCCATGTTATCTGAATATTTAACGCATCCTCTCACGTACTCGCAGTTTGATTCAGTGACATCATTTTGGTTTAAGTTTGCAGCATTAGCCACTCATTCCAGCATTTTTTTTTCCAATTTCTTTTATTCATCACAATAAGTTAAAATCTGAATACATCGATATTACAATGCAACAAAACGAAACAAATAAAAGTAAACTATCAAGCTAACATGACGCCAACGTAGTCAGCGACGACACAGTCACTTTAACTTGGACCTGGTCTAAGCGTCAAAACTTAACTTAGCTCACCTTCTTGCGGTAGTTGGGTTAAATCCGAAGAAGACAACGAAGATGACGAAAGCCTCATCTTAACGGACGCTGAATACTACGGATGCAGAAGAAGTAAACCTAGTTGCCCGTTTTCCTCAGCAACTCCTTAAACCTTTAGCACAGACGCTCCACCTGATACAAACGGGTTTACTCTCCCCTGCTAAAAATGCCATCATATCTACACCCAAACACGTCAAAATCCAAAACCACTCCCTCTTCCTCTTCAATCAACTCCTACAGAAACATCAGCACATAACGATCAGCTAAACAGTAGCCCTAAAAACATTCATCCAACCGGACAAAAACCAAAAAACCAAGCAGCCAACCAAAATCTCTCACAAAATTTAGTACCCCTTTCCAGCCGAACCCAGCTTTCCTCCGAGCAACACGCAGCTCCTACTTCCGAACCGTGCGAGCCAGAAGACGATCTTCCATCCAGAACCCAAGCAGCACAACGATGAAAAAACTATACGGAGCCGAACAAATTTGGAAGCACTCCAGAGAAAAAACACATAACCGACAACAAAATTTCAAACAAACAAGAAAGAAATCAACAGTGCGCCGAAGTCCGCTGCAGCTCCCATCAGCTATATCACAGTGGTCTTCCTTTTAATTTCTTTTCCCCTCTCTTTTACTGCTCTTCCCGACTTGGATCAAGAACCATATACTTTGATGGCAGCTCTACAGCTCAGAACACAAAAGGAGATGAAAGGAGGAGAGAGAAAGAGAGGGAGGGAGGGGAGAGAGGGTTTGCCACTGTCGGCTTTAACCTTCCATTTGTTTCTTTTTCTACTGCGATTAATGCGTAAGGGCCGATGCTATTACACGACGGCAATCGGAAATTGGCCAATTTTTTTGTGCAGTTAATCACATGAGAAATATTTGCAGGCACGCCAGGTAGTCTGTAGGTAGGATGTTACAGATCTACGTTTTCCTGTAATTTATCTGTAATCTATAAATATATGAAAATAGAAGTGTAAAATTTATTAGTTACATATATGTTAGATGAAGATTACAGAGGATATAACACAGATATAACCCAAAATACATACGTACACAAATATTTCACTAATTATAGGCCGCCAACTCCTAACAAATACTACTCCGTAAATATGTAAATACATAAGAATTGAGTGGTATGTATGTAAATTTTTTTTTTCATAATTAACACAATGAAATAAAAGACAAAATTTTATAGCATAAATCAAATTAAAAGTTTTTATATGAAATAATGGACTTAAATTGAGTATAATTTCATTAATATTTTTGGCAATAATATATTAAGCTAGACAGCTTCGACTGCCTTCCCCATTTCTCCTTTTCATTAACCTGTCCGAGGGACTGGTAAGTGCGTACGATTCTATTCTATATCTATGTTGAATTAATTTTTTTTGGATATATTTGTAAATAGCTGCAAAAAAAAATTGTTATTTAAGCAAATATTTATATATATATATATATATATTTAATATATATATATATAATATTTGAAGACGCAATATCTTTTAATAATTTATAAGGGCATTTACGTATATACCGATAAATTTCATGGTCGTGTATTTATGTATCTAACACTTAAATTTTATTTTTTATATTTATGCTATCAAAAATATCACTATTTAAGCTTTTAGAATTTGAAATGCATTATTTTGATGCAGCGAAAATTTGGCATATATGTAAAAATAAATGTTTAGGGGTTAGATATGTAAATAAATGTTTAGGTGTTATATATGTAAATATAAAAGAATTGAGTGGTGTTTATATAAATCTTCCTAATTTATAATAAAAGAGTTTATGGTATCAAAGAAAGTTTAAATTTATATTTTGATAATTTACATATAAAAGATGTATATGTAAATTAGGGGTGTAAACGAGTCGAGCTTGAGCGAGCCCAACTAGATTCGTGTCGATTCGTGTTTAGCTAGTTAAAAATATCGCTTTTCGTGTTTGATTCGTTTATATATTGAGCTAAAAAATTTGTTCATGTTTGGCTCATTTGCTTATCAAACTGAACATGAGCTGTTTGCGAACAATGAGTTATATATATATATATATATGGTACAATTTTTATTCTTAAATGCCACCCAAGCTCGAGAAGGAAAAAAGGAGCCGCAAAAGAAGAAAAAGGAAGAGAAAGCTTCGTTTATAATTTATACCTCAATATTGTCTTGCTACTCAAATCATAAAAGAAGAAAAATAATGAAGTTAGTCGTGGAGATGGAAGACAAGCACAATACTCTCCTAGAAATTTTGGAGGTGGTCTTCACTTGAGCATCATTCGTAACCCATTAATCTATGTTTTAAAAGTATCATTTGATTAACAGTTTGTTATTGTTTAGCAAAACATTGTTATAAAACATTTTTTTCTTTAGTGAAACATGTTTTTTACAGCAATTCACACGTGTATAAAGCAAAATAAGTTTATAAATCATTTTTTTCTTTAGTGGAACATGATTTTTATAGTATTTTACACAAACACAACAATATTTTACTGAATGATTTGACAACATAGTTCTTTAATAAATGCTTTATAAATATTTCCTCTCAAATACAACATGATTTTACATCATTATCTAACCAGTACAACAATGTTGTATGGCATATTATAAGATAGGTAAGGGCATTATGCAATTTAGTTTATACTACAACATGGTTTTAAATCATTTTTTGCGAGTATAATCATGTTGTAGTATGTTATAACATGTGTAAGAGCCCAAGAACATTTGGTATATAGTTCAACATGGTTTTAGTGTCATTTTTTCAAAGAGCACAATCATGTTGCACAACATATTATAATATCAGTAAGTGCATTATGAACATTTGGTATATAATACAACATGGTTTTAAATTATTTTTCCACCAATACAACCATGTTGTGCTGCATGTTATAACATATGTAAACGCTAAAGAATGTTTGGTTTATAGTTCAACATGGTTTTAGCATTATTTTTTAACGAGTACATTCATGTTGTCCTACATATTATAATAATGGTAAGGTCATTATGAACATTTGGTATATAATACAACATTATTTTAAATAATTTTTTTTCAGGAGTACGATCGTGTTGTACTACATGTTATAACATATGTAAGAGCCCAAGAATGTTTAGTCTATAATTTAAAATGGTTTTGACATCATTTTTTAATGAGTATATTCATGTTGTACTATGTATTATAATAGTAAGCATTATAATACATTTGATATATAATACAACATGATTTTAAATCATTTTTTTTATCAATATAACCATGTTGGATTGCATGTTTTAACATATGTAAAGACTTAATTATGCATAACATACTTATTATGCTTAACAACATTCATGTCATACTTAATGTTTAGTCTATAATTCAAAATTATTTTGACATCATTTTTTAATGAGTATATTCATGTTGTACTATGTATTATAATAGTGAGCATTATAATATATTTGATATATAATACAACATGATTTTAAATCATTTTTTTTAAAAGTGCAATCATGTTGTACTGCATATTATAAAAAGTGTAAGGGCTTAAAGACATTTTTTTTATAGTTCAACCTGTTTTTAATGTCATTTTTAAATGAAATTTATATGTATTGGTGCAAGAAGATGAATGTATTGATCAATTAGTTATATCTTCTCAAAGAAATTCAGAAAAACTCTTTTTCACAATTGTTCAAAATGAAAATGAGACATATAGCATGTATTGCAACTATGCACATATAAGTTTCAGTGTTCGAAAGGATTATACTAGCTATTGGTCAAATTCAAAGAATATTAAATCAAATAATTTTTTATGCTCAAAAGCTGGTCAGAAGAGAGCACACAATTTAAATAGCACAGCGAAGTTGAAGAAAGCAGGTATTAGAACTGACTGTTTTGCAATGAATAGACTTGTGATTGATTCTGAAGGTAACTGGTCTGTCAATAAATTTATAGAATGTCATAACCATTCATTAGCACGACCAATTGGTAAACATCTTTTAATATCATGTCGTCATATCGGAGAAGACAAAGCATTTGTGATGCATTCAATCACACAAGCAAGGTTCAAAGCGAATGATGCATTCAAGTGTCTTGCTAAGTAACTAGAAGTAGATAAAATTGGATTTATACAGAGAGATGCGTTTAATTATATGCTAAAAGATAAAAGAGCTAGAATTAAGAATGAATATATTAATGCTTTCATGCATTTATTCAAGAAAAGAGAAACTGATGATAATATGTTTGTCTGGGATGCCCAATTTGCTGAGTCAAATAGACTGAAATTTTTTTTAGTGATGGTGTGACTAGATTGTGATTGCTTTGAAGACGTCATACTTTTTTACACAAGTTATTATCTTAATAAATATATTTTAGCTGGTTTACCATTTATTGGAGTTAATTTTCGCTAACAAAATATTTTGTTTGGAGTAGCATTTATATCAAAAGACGCAATTGAACCATTTACCTGGTTATTCAGTACATTCATTCTCACAATGGATTATAAGTTTCCTATAATAATATACACTTATCAGGATCAAACAATGGCAAAAACTATAGAAACAATATTGATTCATGCTCAACATTGATTATGTCAGTGACATATCGCTAAGTAGGCACCTTCAAAATTTCATTGCTATAATAGTAATAAGACCATCCAATGTTTGTCTAATGCATGCATTAGGCAATGTGATTTGGATGAAGAGTTTGAAAAATTATGGTATGAGATGATAGGGATAGGAGATCTCCATAGTCATGCTTGGCTTAATGAGTTGTATAGAATTAAAAAAAATGCTCAACGACATTTAATAAAGATTCTTTCTGCATGAAAATATTATCAACACAAAACAGTGAGTCCACCAATAATGTTTGTAATGGAATCTCTGAGCCAACAAGCTTCATCACTAATTGTTTTTGGGATTGGATAAAATCATTAATACATGGAGACGAAATGAACGTAATGAAGATTTAAAATGTTGTCAGTATGAAATTGTTCACATTATCAGAAGCAACCTTATTCTGAAGTAAGTCACTGTATTTTAGTCTAAGAAGTTGTATTTTTTTTTTTGAAAAAGAAGAATATTTGCATGGGGCTGGTGGTCTAGCTGTAGAGATTTCAAATAATTAACCTACATAATATTTGGTTAGAAACTTGGAGAATATGAAACATTATATGATTTGGACAGTTAATTTTGAAAAATTGAGTTGTAATATACAATATAGTTGTAAAAAATACAAATCAATGAGATTACTTTGTGCCTACTGTATCCAAGTTTTGTGTTAAGAACATGTCATCTACATCCTAAACATAGCATCTCCTAATGAGATTGTCTTCTAAAGCAAACAGAAATGTAAACATTGATAGTGCTTTAAAAAAAAGTTACAGATTATTAATGGTTCTTCCTCAAGCTTCATATTTTGAAACCATATTAGTAGATATTCATATCAAATATGTTGTATAGAACAAGGTAATAAAGAAGTGAAACAATATATGTTAAATTCCTTGAAAAATTTGTCCAATGCATGAACCCCACAAAAAGAATGAAGGTTGATAGGAATGTCTTCTAAGTATTAGTGTAAAAGATCCACCTAAGTTGCGACCAAAGGATGTGTCTAATGCAATATTGAAAGGGCATTGGAAGAAAAGGAGAAAACCTAACAATAAACCTTATATCAGTTTTCATAATACTTTAAAAAATTTCCCTCATCTTAAATCTCATTTACTATTCTTGAGATAGGAAAAAAAAGTTGTCACCTTAACAGTTAAAGAACATGCAGAGTCATCCACTCTGACGTATCAGTCTAATATTTATACTAATTATGATATTGTTTAT